TGGGCAACAGAGAAGAATTGCGTGTGTGGCAAAAAGAGAGAGGGCAAGGAAAAACTCACCTGGTTTGTTGAAGAACTACGTACGTGGCTTTGACAACAAAAAGCAAGAAGCAAGAACTCGCCAAATTCATGCACTTCAGAGCAAAAAGAACAAGAACTTTAAGTAATCAATCATATAATCATAATTATTTAATACGCTTCGTTATATAAAATTTCTCCAAAAACAGAATGCAGGTCCACTAGCAAGAAAACAAAGAGAACAGGGAAAACAAGGCCCTTTGCCCATATTTTCACCAATCCCTTAGTGAATGGATTTCACATCTTTAAGAACTACTTCTAAGCAGTCCACCATCTAGAGGGGTACAAGAATATGTAAATGCTTGCACACGTTGTGTCATTAGTAGGAAGGGAATAACATTATCAGTTCACATTAAAAGATTACAATGCCAGAACTTAAAAATATCTATTAACATACGATACTTAGTCATTCTCCAACCTCAATTGTGCAACTGAATCAAATTGAGATTTCACATGAGAAACTTGAGCTAGAGAATATCTAAGTTTGTTGTTCATCAAAAACGATACTTTATAACAAAAAGAGATGATATATTGTTTTAACAAAAATATTAAAATATGGTCAATGGACTTTAAAAAAAACATAGTCATGTAGATCATGATGGTCAGATGAAATGAGAACAATGAAGGAGAAAGGTGTGGGACACAACAAAACAGAATGTGAACCTCACTAGTGGGTTCTATTGTAACTCCTGAGAGGATTATCACAAACTCACACATCTCAATCACTATTTGGGCTGGACTTTGCGACCCCAGTCATGTTCAAAAGAGCTAATAAAAGTAACTTAAGATAATTTTGTGGTATACATGTACAAATTGGATAGTTATTGTGAGAAACATGTGTACAAATTCAGAAATAATAAACTAATAATCATTCTCATCCCCAATAAATAAATATTAAGAGGAATGCAGTTGTTTCAGTTGAGAGGGTTCAGACCAAGATATTGTTGAAGTTTTCTATTTGGGACAATAAGCATTTCACACTCCCATGTGATCATTTTGGACTTCACTACCTTGGGTAAAACTCTACCTAGAAGGATTCTTAGGACCTCAACCTTAATATAGGGACCAACTTCAAAAGAAAGCCATTAGTTTGGGACGGACGCAAGCAAGAACCAGATACCTTTTTCTATAGGCCAACAAAATGATTTCATGGTGAATGCCATGCTCAGGTTTAGTGAAAAAAGACATCATAAGTGAGACGTCAAATTGAATCTTTAGTATTGTACTATATATCTCACTCCAAAGAACATATTACTTTGCGACAGTAAAAAACATATTATTTTGAGACAGTAGAATTGGTTCTCTTGACCCTGCATATTCATGCCAGTTGATGGGGAAAGTAACGAAAGCAAACTTCTTAAGAAGGTTTCTCGCTGTGAAAAACTCAACTAATCTCACAAAAAAATCACAGAACAGGGAAATGAATATCGAACCCAAATTTATTAAAAAAACAAAAAACAAAAATGGCATTGTAAAATAGAGAATAAAAGCATCACATAAAACCTAATAATTGTATTAATATTTCAATTGAAAGTCGAGCATTATTTTTTCTATTAGGGCATTCAACTGCATTCATTGTAACTTCTTCAAGTTATTGATCCAAATAATAAAAATTATGTAGTGAAATCAATTTATAACTATCTAATTCAGTTTTCTTTCAGAATCAATGATAAAAGAAAGTAAAAAAATCCAATTTAACCATTGTTTTCTCTGTTTTTGTGATTTAATTCGGAAGAAAATTGGGTAAAAGGGCATAGAAAATACACATACGTTGATTGAGTTAGCGAAGGAGAGGGAAAAGGTAGGATCCATTTAACCACTGAAATAAAACATTATAAAGATGGGTTTTGAGAAAAAAAACGTAGGGTATTAGGACAAAAACGTAGTACTTTGGGTAGGTTTTTGAAAACAAATTGGGTTTTCTACAAGGGTAATAGAGAGATTTCACCTACTGTAAAAAACTTTCATGAATTAGGGTTAGATTGTGGCTTGGGTTCGAGCAAAAAAAATCAAGATAATCACTCACTTGATTGATGCCCTAAACAAAGGAGGAGTATGCAGCGTCTGTGGCAGAACCGAAGCTTCTCACCTAGAGGAGAGGACAACGGTTGGGCTTCGCAGGGAGGGGAGGGGACGAATGAGAAAGAATAGCGCTTCACTTCACATAGCAAGGGAGAGAAGAAGACAAGCCAAGAGGAGAGCCTCGTCGAGAGAGGACACTTGAGAGAGAGAGAGAGAGAGAGAGAGGTCGCAGAGGTGAGGAAACATGAAAGAATGATAAAAACAGATCTTTTGAGGTTTGAAGCTTTTTGAGCCAATTAGAGGCGTTTTGCGTGCGGAGTGTTCTCAGCTAATCAGGACCCTTCATTTCAATTTTTTTGAACGGACCGTCGATAGGGTGGGGGCGAAATCACTGTAGATTCTCACCTAGAGGTGTTGCAAAGACTTTTCCATATAT